CCGCCGGCCGGATTGGCTCTCGGCGCCGTCCGTCACCGCCCCGCCCCGCCCCCGTCCCTCCCGCACTGGCGCGCGCCGCGGGGGAGAGGGGGGGGTCTGTCGGAGGAGGAGGAGCCTCCGCCGCTGCCGCCGGTGGGTTTCAGCACCTTGGAGAGCGCCGCGGCCAACCGTCGAGGGGGGAGCGCGGAGTGCCGCAGCGGCGCCACCGGCCGGGCCAAGCAGGGCGAGGCGGGCGAGGCAAGGCGAGGCTCAGGCGGGCAGTCCCCCTCCCTCCCTTCCCTTCCCTTCCCACCCGCAGCAGCAGGAGGAGGAAGAGGAGGACTTCCAAGGGACCGGCAGTCTTGGCGCTGGCTGCCGTTGCAGCTGTCCTGGCGCCAGCCTTCCTTGCGGTGCCCCCCCACCCTCCCCGGAGGCATTTTTTGGGCAGCATCAAGAGGCTGAGAGCAGAAACCGCCGGCCCCCCCCCACTTCGGTAAGGAGCAGCTGGCTGGGACATCTGCGCTCTTTGGAGGTTTGGGGGTCAAAGCCCTCCCCCCCACCACCGTGTCCTCTTGACCTGGCCTGAGATCTGGTTAGGAAAGGCGGCCTCCATCCCGGCCCGCTCGATCCGGATGGACAGGCGCCCTGGGGCTGAGTTTGGCCCAACAAGTTCCTTGCCAGGGAGAGGGCGGCCGGCAGGGGGGCTTTGGGCTCGGATGAAGATTGGCCAAGAGACTCCTTAGGGTCTTTTCTCCCAAGGGGTGTGTGTGTGTGTCCCTGCATCTCTGTGTATCTGTGTGTTTGCTTGGGTCCGAAATTCGGGAGACAGGATGGGAGGCTGCTCCAGAGTTGGCACCCCGGGAACGCCACGGCTGCTCCGGAGCTGCACTTGAGAGGGTGTGTTGGGGGGGAAGGGATCAACCAGGACTGCAAGCGCCAGTTGAGCCGGTCGAGCCCAGGTGGGGAGAATGTCATTCGGCCGCTGCTGGCAGGGATCGTTTGAGATGCCAGGGGAACAGAAGAGCACGACGCGGAGGAGCCGCCATTGATTACTCACCGGGAAGAATCCCTGCGCAGCGATTGACAGGGAAGATCCAGGGGGGGGGAAACATCTGCACCTGCTCTGGCAGAGGCGGAATTCAGAAGTGGAGCTTCCCTATGGAAATATTTTTCCCCCAACGGAAGGCAACGAGAGTCAACACGACAGAGAGTTCCTGAGGTGATCGACTGTGGCCCTCTGAATGTTTCTCGGTTGTGGATTCTTCACCAACTGAGCTGGTCGCCTTTCGGATGCCTCGGGCTTGCCAACTGTGGAATCCCTCCCCACTTTCGGGTAACCCTTCCAGAGCGCCTTCTGTATTTTGATAAAATGAAGCCTTTGTATGTTGCAGGGGGTCGGGTGCCCCTACTGACCTCCCAGTGAAAGCAACCAGACAGTTTTCGTTGCCCTCGATTCCTTTCTCTTCTCTTGCCCACCCCCAAATGTGAGCCGCTCCCGAGGAGCCCCCCCCCCCGGCGAACATCTCTTTAAGATTTCTTTTCTTCAAAATGAAGAAATTTAATATCCACAGAGTTTTGGATGGTTTAACTTCATCCCCCAGCGGAAGCAGCGGTGGTTCCAGTGGAGGCAGTGGTTGTGGGCTCGCGGGTGGTCCAGGCCACTCAGGAGGAACCGCAGGGACTCCCAGAGAGGAAATCCAGGAGACGCTGACTTCGGACTATTTTCAAATCTGCAAGGTAAGAGCAAGATTCTTTTCCTCTTTAGAGATGAAGGGTGCCAGAGAGGCTGGACGCAAGAGCCAAGTCACAGGGGCCTAGAGGACGAAGTGTCAAATTATCCTTCGATCTGAGATCTGATGCTCGGATCGAAGTTGGATGCGAACGATTTCTATTCTTCCTTGCGCAGAGCTATAGGGAGTAAAAAGAAAAGCATCAAGGGCCTCTAATCTGGGTATGATTTGCCCCTAGATTTTGTGACAATTATATTTATGGTGTTCGCATAACACCATGTGAGCACGCTTATTTCAAAGTAAGTAACGTGTTTAGGGCCAGAGTGTCCCTTGAAAATGTTAGTTTATTCATAATTTAATCTATCCTTTTTTCGTTCATTAAACGCTGGCTGCATTGTGTTCTTTGGGCGTTCTGAGTGAGTTGCATTTGCATTGGAACTTCAGTTGTGGTGTGGCCTAACTAAAAGCCGGGATGAGCTAGAAGACTTCCCCTTTTAAAATCTCTTCTGTGTAGGTCTGATCATGCAGTAAGGATACTAATAGGTGTTTGATATATTATTTGTTTTACCATTATGCCCATTTTGCCCCCTGGCAGTGGCTTCATTTTTTCCTGTAAGGAAATCAATTCTAGTAGCTCTGCGTCTGTGACTAATCACACAGTGATAAACCACATGTTTACAATGTCAACTTTAATGAAGCAAAATAGTTGGGAATCTGTTTTTTTGATTTGCTGACATGGGATGTAGATTCTATGGCAGTTCCACCACGGACAGCAAGCAGATGGAAGTATTCTAATGTTAACCAATTTGATTTTTTTTTAATAAGGGGGGGGGGAGTTATTCAGAGTTTCCCTTCTCTGTTGACGATAATTCTTATAGCATCTTTTTCAAAGCTTTGTAACCGATCCCCAGTAAATTGATTTGAGCATCATTAACATCGAATGTTTCTAAAACTCAGAGGGGAAAAAGCACTTTTGCCTTTGAATTGCCTAGAAAGCTAAAGTATGTCAATTGACATACAAGCAGATCAGTTAAAAGGGGGGGTACAGCTCAGTGGAAGAGCCCTTGCTTGGCTTGCAGAAGGTCCCGGGTTCAATCTCCAGTGAAAGGATCTGGCAGTCGGTGATGTGGGAGACCTCTGCCTGAGACCCTGGAGAGCCCCTGCCAGCCTGAGTAGGCAATGCTGACCTTGATGGACCACGGCTCTGATTCAGTACGAGGCGCCTTCGCGTATGAAAAGAAAACCTCATTATTTTTAGTATAGCAGTTTATTGCAATCCCATAAAATCCTGTGTGACTCTGGTGCTTCCCTCTGTGTGAAAAGCAAATAAACGGATTTGATGTTTGATCATGCAAAAAAAATAATAATGGCAATTTTTCAGAGAGGAAAGATCGGGAATGGGGTAAAGGTCAAGTCCCTACTGTATCGCCTTTATTATATTTACCACCCAGCGTCCTGTTAGCTTCTCAGGGAGAAGAGAAACACCTCCAGCTCAGGTCTGTAGCCAGGATTCTTTTGTTTTGTTTTTTTGGGGGGCATTTAAAATTTTAAGGGGGCAGTTAGATAGTTAATTAAATTAATTGAATGCCTGTCTATAAAGGGGGAGGCTTTGAGTCTGTTTCGAGCCCTTCCTTTCAAGGGATGGGGCAGTGAGCACATCAGTTCCTAGGAATAAAGACCTCAGGTGGCATTTAATTGCCTTCAGAAGGCATTCAAATGCCTTTTGAGTTCCCTTCCATGGGGCGAGAAAGCCGAGAAGGGCACTCAAGATTGGCAGCTTCAATACATCTCCAACAATCCCCCTTTCTGCTAGCTCAGTCCTGCTGTAGACCACCTGGGTCGTGGTGAGTCTTACAAAAGGATTCCCATAAGCCTTTGGGAAACATGCAAATTAGGCAGCGAGGGGGAGGTCTCTCCTCAAAACTAAGGTTTCTGGCATGGCTATTTGCAGGGCAGGGCTTTTAATCGAGGGGGCCTGGCCCCCGAAATGCTCCGCTGTAGTTATGGGCCTGCTCTGGCTTCGTTTGTTTCCATAGTTTTTGGATTAGGCCTCGGACAACCTGTGATTAAAGACAGTCTGGCTCCTCCAGATACGTTGATCTAATATTGCTGCTGCCACCACCCTGATTTCAGTTGGTTAGCTTTTCGGTGTACTAAGGTAAAAGTTGGCAGTGTCATGTTTCTAAAGAAACAGGTGCTTAGGCAACTCCCCGCCCCCCCAATCCATTTTGCATGACTGTGAAAAAGACATGGGAGACATTTGTTTCAGATTGTCGCCGGGTCAGCCTGCAGTAGAACCCTTAGATTTGAGTCCGGTCACACCGTAGAGACCAACCAGCATCCCTTAGGAGCGTTCTTTACTGCAAGCCTCCCACCCCAGGACAATTCAGCATTGGCTTTTTCCTCCATCGTTTTACCAAACACACCTTGGAACAGAGATTCCCCTATGCATTGCATGCTGCTTTCACTTTCTTTGATCATCAGATTTTATGGTGCCCTCCACAGTGCAGACTGATTTCGCTTTCTTTGATCATCAGGTTCTATGGTACCTTCTGCATAGCTTTATGGCCGTTTTATGGCCGTTCAGGGGTGACTTCGTAGTCAGTACGACGTTGCTGCAGGGTATTTGAACATGGTTTTGAGCTGCGCCTTTGCCTCCCAGTTGAGAAAAGGCAGAGCGAATGCCAGATGCAGAATCGGCCTGGGATTTAAAAGAATCAGATCTCCATTCTCGCTCGAGGAAAGGAGTTTTGACTTTTGAAAGCTCATGCCCTGAAAATCCTAGTTTGGTGTAGTGGTTAAGTGCACGAACTCTAATCTGGGAGAACCGGGTTTGATTCCCCCCTCCTCCACTTGCACCTGCTGGATGACCTTGGGCAAGCCACAGTTCTGTCAGAGCTGTTCTTGAAAAAGAGCAGTTTCTGTCAGAGCTCTCTCAGCCCCACCCACCTCACAGGATGTCTGTTGTGGGGAGGGGGAGGGAAAGGCGTTTGGAAGCTGCTCTGAGACTCCTTTGGGTAGTGAAGGGTGTGGTATAAATCCAATCTCCTCCTCCTCCTCCCCCTCTTCTTCTTCTTCTGTCTCTAAGCTGGTGCTTCTGGACTTGAAGGGAACTATCCTGAAAGTGTGTTGCTTTATCAACCCTGGCCTGGCCTGATGAGCGACAGAATCAAAGGTGTTCGGAACTGAGTTAAATATTAACCGGCTCTGACAACATGTTCATGTGGCTCTTATATAAGAGACCCAAAGCACTGTCTGGGGGGGGGGTTTCTTCGTCCCCCTGTTGCTGCTGGCCTACTCTGCTATATACTAGCAAAGACAGGGCAGTCTGTATCGGTGGGAGGGTCCTGCAATGGAAAACCCCCACCCACAGTTTTCCGGCAGGGAATATACACATGAAGCTGTTTTATACTGAATCAGACCTTTGGTCCATCAAGGTCAGTATCGTCTGCTCAGACCGGCAGCGGCTCTCTGGGGTCTCAGGCAGAGGTCTTCCACATCACCTACCACCTGATCTTTTAAATGGAGATACCGGGGATTGAACCTGGGGCCTTTGGCATGCCAGGCAGATGCTCTGCCACTGAGCCGCAGCCCCTCCCCAGAACAATGACTACAGAGATGGTTTGTTGGTAAATTGGTGTAAATCTGTGGCTTTCCCCCAGATCCTCCTAGCAAGGCTAATAAGAGCATGAGGATGGTGTGTGTGTGTGTGTTTATGTGTGGATTTATATTAAAGATAGGGGCAACATTACCTCCTACTCCACCCCAGTCCTTCAGCCTTAATTCCAGTCATAAGAACCTAAGAAGATCCCTGCTGGATCAGAGCAGTGGTCCATCTAGTCCAACATCCTGTCTCACACAGCGGCCAACCAGTTCCTCTGGTCGGCCAACAACAGGGCAGAGAGGCTGAAGCCTTCCCCTGATAACAACATAAGAAGAGCCCTGCTGGATCAGAGCAGTGGTCCATCTAGTCCAACATCCTGTCTCACACAGCGGCCAACCAGTTCCTCTGGTCGGCCAACAACAGGGCAGAGAGGCTGAAGCCTTCCCCTGATAACAACATAAGAAGAGCCCTGCTGGATCAGAGCAGTGGTCCATCTAGTCCAACATCCTGTCTCACACAGCGGCCAACCAGTTCCTCTGGTCGGCCAACAACAGGGCAGAGAGGCTGAAGCCTTCCCCTGATAACAACATAAGAAGAGCCCTGCTGGATCAGAGCAGTGGTCCATCTAGTCCAACATCCTGTCTCACACAGCGGCCAACCAGTTCCTCTGGTCGGCCAACAACAGGGCAGAGAGGCTGAAGCCTTCCCCTGATAACAACATAAGAAGAGCCCTGCTGGATCAGAGCAGTGGTCCATCTAGTCCAACATCCTGTCTCACACAGCGGCCAACCAGTTCCTCTGGTCGGCCAACAACAGGGCATTAGAGACCAAGGCCTTCCTAAGAACCTAAGAAGACCCCTGCTGGATCAGACCAGGGGTCCATCTAGTCCAACATCCTGTCTCACACAGGGGCCAACCAGTTCCTCTGGTCGGCCAACAACAGGGCATAGAGGCCGAGGCCTTCCTAAGAACATCAGAAGAGCCCTGCTGGATCAGAGCAGTGGTCCATCTAGGCCAGCCTCCTGTCTCACACAGTGGTCAACCAGTTCCCCTGGAGGGCCAGCAACAGGGCAGAGAGGCCAAGGCGAGGCTTTCCCCTGATGTTGCCTCCTGGCTCTGAGATTCAGAGACTTAGTGTCTCTGCATGTGGAGGTTCCCCTCAGCCGCCATGGCTAGTAGCCATTGATAGACTTATCCTCCATGAATCTGTCTCATCCCCTTTCAAAGCTGTTTATCCCTGTGGCTATCACTACATTCTCTCACAGTGAATCCCACATTTTAATCACTCTCCTTTTGTCCTTCCTGAACCTACTACCCATCAGCTTCGTTGGATGCTCTCGCGTTCCAGCATTTTGGGAGAGGGAGAAGAATTTCACTTTGTCAAGCTCTCTCTGCCCCATGTA